AGTAATATTATTTGATTTAAGTAAACATTTTGTTGAATTAAAATAAAATTTATTGAAAATTTTAGTCAATCTGACCAATCTTTTCTTAATGTAGATAGAGATATGCAATACATAAAAATTACACTTACTTAATACTTTCTGACCCAATAAATACATGGATGTAAAACCTGGTCGCACGCTCAATCAATCTTTTCTTGATTATGCTGCAACATAAAAATTATTAATAAACTTACTTAACAATACTTTAAAACATATAAAATACTTAACATGTATCAAATACAAAGTCAACGACACACACATGCAATATTCACAAGCGATCAAACTCACTTCAGGCTTTGTGCTCCAGTAAATAAGTGGATGTTAAGAAAGGTTGCACACTCTATATTTTCTTGATTATACTGCAACATGAAAATTACAAATAATAATGGCATACTTTACATGTATCATATATACGAGAAATAATATACTACAAGAGATGTTATAGAGATGTATTTAGTACATTATGTACAGTATGTAAATAATATACTGATGATTCACACAAATGAGTATAGAATGATGTTAGGGATAATTATTTGAGTTCTAATGTAAATGGAAAGCAATAAGTAATATAAGTTCATTGATATTGAATTATATTTTTATATTTCTTTTGCGACTTTCTAAACATAACCTCAATTTTATGAAATGTTTTACCGTGATAAATTATTAAAAAATGTGGCAAAAAATACTAAATATATATATATACATATATACAAATAAAATATTCTTGAACTTTATTTCACGTCTAATAAAATATGTAGAAACGAAGAAAAAAGATTATCTCTGAATTCGTCGATAATTCGTAAAGAGGATCAACCATATCATGCGGTATCAGGCAAAAATTAAATAGTAAATAGACCTCGGAAATAGGGATGGGCGATATAGTATCGATATTTCAAAATATCGATATTTTTATTTTATAGTATCGATATTTTGTATTAATATTTTATCTTTCGATATTATTATGTATCGATATTTTAATAAGTGTATCGAACTTCCGATACGGACGCCGTAGAGCAGTTCTGTGAAGGTAGCCTACCAAAATTAGATTTTCGAAGTTTCAATAATTGGAATTAATAGTTGGTCTTTTATTGATCATTGTTGATAATATTTTAGTTTTTGTTGGTTATTAAAAAAATAAATATCAATATGAAGTTAGCCTACCTAAATATACAATTTTAATAGATTTTAATTAATTATACGTCAAATCGATAGGAAATCGATTGTTGGTCCCAATTATGTCTTTAGAAATGATTGTTGGTCGATTATTTACTAATCCCAGATAGCCACAGTAATTATTATGACATCATTTTGATGTCAAAATGCATCATTTTGATGGCAAATGATGCATTTTGATATCAAAATAATGTCATAATAATTACTGTAGCTATCTGGGTAATTATAACAAAATAATTATTTTTCAATTGCTCACATATACTGCGCATGCGCATATATACTGCGCATGCTGTTTCCAACTATTAAATTAGCTCTCTACAAATATATTATTCCGCGATCAGAGAAATGCACAATTAGATGAAACAGGTATTTTATACAAATACGTTTAAATTGACACATTTATAATTAGTCTTAGTGTATTTATTAGGATTTTAAGTAATTATACTAACGATATAAATTTTGTGTTGAGAAAATCAGTTATTAGAAAATTTATGGTTATTACAGGTGAAAAATTAAAAAAAATTATTGCTAAATTAAAAAACAATTAAATTGTTATATTAATATTTCTTATTTACAGATATTTGACTATGGCTTTACGAGCACGGACCAGGGAGCACCTTTTATTAACCTTAACCTGCTCCCGTTGACAACAGCGAGTATTGCTGATAGACAATTCCCACATCATTCGGTAGTTTTTTAATTGAAAGAGAAGTTGTTGACTATAAAAAGACCAAACTATAACAGTGAGGATTTCGAGAAACTTATCAAATCTGAAATGAATGTAAGACCAAATGATGTCGCCCTTCCAATCAAATTGTGTAAGATCTCTTCTGTCATTCGAAATATAAGTTGTTCTCACTAATTGTTCTTAAGAAGCTGAGCTCGAAATGCCCTGTTTGGGACAACAACAGGAGAACGAGGAACGGCTGAGGGTCTCAACTAAATAAGGAGTCACTTGATTAATGGACAGTATATTAGAGATATTCATTTAATATGGAAACACAATTGTACGGGTGCGGTTAATTATAATCGCCGGCCAAACACTTCGAGAGATATCAGGATCGACTCACTATGTCGAATTGCGTCGCTATTTTCACGGTTACTTCAAATCAGAAATTGCGAGCGAGATACAAAAACGTTATCACGTTAACAAAACCGTTAGGTTGCTCTAGTCAAGTCGAATATCGAGGGCTACAACCAAAAGGGCAGATGCCTTTCACTCGAGTCCCCGTAACTCTTCCTTCTCTCCTTTTATACCCCAAAAGCCTAGCGAGCGCGCGATCGGGAGAATACCCCCAGAATACCGGGCCTGGGTCGCGTAACGGGGCGCCGACCGACCAATTAATCGGGTGTCATGCTTTCCCCGCGTGTTCGCCAGTCAGTTCGGTGGGGAAAAGGGGAAAAATTTCTTACAGTTCGTCCATCCTGATATTACATTCGTCTCGAATGTAGCCGATTTTTTTTTTTTTTTTTTTTTTTTCGATTAAGTAAACCTAAGAACAGAAATACACATTAATTATCCTGAGATTATAAGATAATTTTTCGCCATATATAATTACATTGCATAAAATCTTAAGTGAGTAATTCGGGTACATTATTAATATTAATCATACAAATAACCCCGCAATATAGAGAAAACTTATTTTTAACAGTGCGGTCGCCAAGGTACATATATTTCTCTATTTAGTACTGTCATTTATTATTCTTAATTACCGGCTTCGTCCAGTATTTCAATTTGTCGGAAGACAAGATGGTATTGTAAGGTTTTTGCGTGATGTCGAACCCAGGAATGTCCTTTACAACATACCGGTTTTTATTTAGAACCTTGGCAATTTCATACGGGCCTTTATAATTTGGTTTTAGCTTCTTACTTATACCTACTTTGGCCTGAAGGTCGCGTATCAATACTCGATCGCCTTCCTTGTACACAGTCGGTTTCTTGTGGTGACGATCATAATAAGCCTTATTATATTCCCTGAGCTTATTGTTAGCTTGTTTGGCAATATCACGTGCCTCCTCTCTCTGTTCGTACATGTTATTATCTATTTCGAGTAAACAGTCTAAATAGTCTTTCAAATCTTTGTCTTCATGACATTGTTGCTCGTACCCTAACAGAAGTTTCGAGGAAGAGGTTTTTATTGCTGAGTTATGTGTATTGTTCACTGTGTACTGTACCGCGATAAGTTTATTTTCCCAATCATCAGCCGAATCGATCGATTTAGTTAGACTGCTTTTCAAATATCGATTAACACGCTCTACTATGCCGTTAGCCCACGGTGAGGCTACGGCGACCTTTCTAAAATTAATATTTAATTTTTCCAAAAATTCTGCAAAATCTCTTGCTGTAAAAGCCGAACCCCGATCAGTAACCGCCGTAACGGGTGTTCCAAAAATATGAAATAAAAATTTTAAACAATTGCGAGCTTCCTTAGTGTTCGTTGTTTTCGTAGGAAACAACCACGTGTACCGTGTAAACGCATCTATCACTACAAAGATATATCTTGAACCTTCTGGCGTTTCCTGCAGAGGACCAAAATGGTCAACGTGAATAATTTCAAATGGTTTCGTAGGGGCAAAATCATCTATTTGCGATTCGCCTTCGCGCCTATTAGTTGAGGAATTCGCATACAGGCACGTAATACAATTATCAATATGATCGCGAATTTTTTTTCGCATAGCTGGGAACCAATACGATCCGTGTACCCCTTGGTACGTTTTTTCAAATCCACAGTGCGACATATCATCATGATATATTCTAAGAATATTGGGGATCATCGCGTCGGGAATTACAAAGCGCGCGCGGTCCTCTCCTTTCCGATATATCAATCCATTGATTAATTGAAATTTATTATTATCATCAAATTCGAGACTATCAGCAATTTCTTTAATTCGCGGATCTTGAAGCTGTTTAAATTCTAGCTCCCTTTCCAAGGGTAAGATTTCTAAATAGAATACTTGGCGACTAAGCGCGTCGACGTGTGCCATTCTTTTTCCCGGACGGTGCTCCACCTTAAAATCATAGTTTTGTAATAGCAGCGTCCAACGAGCGATTCGGGGGTTCAAATTCGCTTTATTGACTGCGTAGACTAGCGCATTGCAGTCCGTAATTACTGTAAATTTTATACCGTATAGATAAATGTGGAAGCGTTCCACCGCTCGAACAATCGCGAGCATCTCGAGCTCGAAACTGTGATATCGCGACTCCGCGCTATTTGTCGTTTGGCTGTAATACGCAACGGGGGCCCATTTCGCGTCTGATTGTTTCTGGAGAAGTATTCCTCCAAGCCCCTGAGCACTTGCGTCAGTATGCAACTCAGTAGGTGCGGTTGGATGATACAAGCGAAGTACCGGATACGCAGTCAGTTCAGTTTTCAGTATTTCAAACGCGGAAGTACATTCTGCGTCAAAATTAAAGTCTACCGATTTTCGTAGCAAATTATGTAACGGTCTTGCTTTATGTGCGTAATTTTGTATAAACTTTCTAAAATAATTAGTTAACCCGAGAAATCGCTGCAATTCGTGAGTGTTTTTCGGAGCAGGAAAATTCTTCACGGCTTCCGTGTGACGATCGCTCATGGTTACTTGATTCTTGGAAATTATATATCCTAAGAATTCGATTTTTTTCTTCAAAAAACAACACTTGGTGAAATTCAACTCAAAACCGTATTTTTTTAAAACTAATAGGACTTCTTGTAATACTTCCAAATTTTCCTTTACCGATCGACTTGCTATTAAAATGTCGTCAATATAGACTAGAACTTTATCTTGTCGTATGAGCGGTTGCAGAACTTGGACGACGCGTTTTTGGAATTCAGCGGGTGCTTCCGAAAAACCGAAGGGTAATCGTACATATTCAAATTGCCCATCGGGCGTCGCGAACGAAAAGTACTTCGTATGCTGAGGGTTGACTTTGATTTGGTGAAACCCGTCTTTTAAATCGAGCAATGTAAAAACCGCTCGATCGCTCAATTGCGCCAGACAATCCTCGATCAGAGGAAAAGGATATTTTTGTTTAAGAATGCGCGCATTCAGTGGGCGTAAATCTACGCATAGTCGCAGGTTGCCATTTTTCTTCCGCACGGGAACAATTCTTGCGCAGTACGGAGACGTGCTGTTCCTGATAATGCCGCGTTCCAATAAATCATCGGTAATCGCCCGAATCTGTTTTCGCTCCTCTAGCGCAAATTTTCTAGGTGCGAATGCGTACGTTGAATGGTCTTTCAAATTAACCGATACGTAATAGTCATCGTCGATTACCTTAACCTCGGTATTTAAACAATCTAAGACCACTTCTTTGAGCTGTTGTTTTTCCGCTAGCCCGAAATCTATTTCACACTCATCTAACAAAGATTCCGCATTCATTTCAGTATAACAAACATCCGATTGTAAAAGGAGTTGCGTAAATGCAGTGGAATCGGACCTAGTCGGTCGGAAAATTAATGTTAAATTGTAGTTCTCTAGGAAATCACGTCCGATTATTAAATCCATTTCAGAAAAATCTGAATCAACTACGTGAAGACAGACTTCGTAAGTACGATCGGGGAATGATTTAAAGCTAATCACGGAATTAATTTTCCCCTGGACGTTAATCGGATTTTTCGGCAAAGCGTTAAATTTCCGATCGACTGGTTCTAACGCGGTTTGCGTACAATTGAAAAATTTCTGAAAATTACTCAAACTAACAAATGAGACTGGACTTCCTGTGTCCATTAGCGCGCTCAAATTACAATCTATATTATTGATTTTGTCAATTATTATTAACGGTCCAGAGAGGTAAAACTTATCCCTGTTGTTATCCTCGACCGCCGCTGCCGTCGGCTGCGTGGAAGATGATGTCTTTTCCGGTGCCGGGGAGGAGGATGAGGCCGTTGCTACTGTCCGCTCTTTCTTCTTCAGCAGTGGACAGTCCGATTTCCAATGACCTTCCTTTTTGCAATAATTGCATGCTCCCTTGGTCGGCCTGTCCTTGTGGCCCTGTGTCTTCCCGTCAGCTGCTTTGTAGTCCTTCTTAATGGCTTTACTCTGATGATGGTTTTTTTTCTCCATGTCGCCCATACCGTAGGTGATCCTCCTCATTGCTTCCAAGAATCTATCTACAGACTGCGTGGTTAACGCCAAAGCCGTTGCACGAAGTGAATGTTGCGGAATGCCACCGATTATCAAGTTGATCGCATCTGTACTAGGGAGATCCAAACGATGAATTAATGTTAGCTTGTCAATTGAATATTGGTCAAATGATTCTTTAGCCGGATTCCATTTTCGAGCCTCAATTTTTTGCATCGCGGCCGTAAACGAGACACGACGATCAAACATCTTTATCATTGCTTGCTTTAGTTCGTACCACGACTCTAAGACGTGGCCGGATTGCATCTCGTACCACTGCTTTGCGAGTTTCGTCAATTTACTAGAGGCTGCGAGGAGCACGACGTCTTCCGACGCATGATGCACTTGAGCCACTCTGTCGACTCTTTGTGACCAAATATGGACGTTTTCCTCGTCCGTGCCGCCGAACTCCGGAATTTGCGGTGCTAACAAGGTCACCGCTTGTGCCGGCGATGATGTACTGACTGCTGGAGAACGAATCTGCTCCACTTCCTCCTGCTCTGGGGAAGGTCCCCTGGGGATAAAGATTTGTTGTTGCTGCTGCATAAATACAGCCAAGGTCTCAGTGAGGCGGTCCAATGCCCCAGTTTGCGCCGCAGTTCCCGCGGCAGGTGTCACGACCACTGATGGCACCGACCCTCGCCGATCTGCACTGCCACTTCCTTTGCGTATCCTCCCGGTGGTAGTGCGGGAACCTGATGCAGAAGGCATCATTTCGTCCGTCGGACTATCGAGGGACAAATGTGCCGAGATCGCTTC